TGTATTGCTTGACTCTGCGCCCCACATTCATAGCTCCCAGACGTTAGGTCTTTAGACTCCTGGGATTTTTTTCTGTGCTTTACCCTCTTGAGGGTAGTTAGGTACTCTTCCTTTTCTTTCTCATAGTTCTACCCCTTCCCTATTGTTTTGTCTCAGCTATGCCTTCCACACAATCTCCTTGCCATTTCTTTTTTTCTCTCCATCTTTGGGCTCCCTATCCCCAACTGCCTCTTCCTGTCCCCCTCCCCCCAAGACCTCCCCCTGATGGCTGACCTGCAACCCAACCCTTCCGCCCAGCGGACCACCCCGAAAATAGTTTCCCTTCATGCCAGAGGCTTGAATGTGACAAAGAAGAGAGTGGTGATTCTACACCAACTGTGAAACATAAGGTCTTGGGAGGCATTCATACAAGAAACCCACTTCAAACAATCAGACTTCCCCCACATTCAGAAACAATTGCTTCCCCATCTCGCAACATAGTATCTCTCCAAATACTATGTTTATGGGAACTAGCATACTGATTGCAAAAAACATACTCAGGGTCCCCATGACAACCATTACTGACCACAATATAAGATTTTAAATAGTTAGGGGCATCATAGGTACACAGCTTTCAACCCTGGCTAATGTTTATTTCCCAAAAACTGAACATGTATTTTCTACAAGTTCTAACGGAAACTATGGAGGGCTATTTACTGCTGGGAGGACTCTTCTCATGTATCTTTTTCCATTCTAAAATGCATTATGCAACTGTTACATGAACACCAACAGGTTGATGTGTGGTGGGCCCACCATCCAAGGGACGGAGATTATACCTTTTTCTTTTTATATTTTCATACTATGAGCACTTTCTGACAACCCTTACTTCCCACTTTCTGACTTACTACATGCGCATATTACAGTCATACCTAAACACGATCAAAAGATCTGACGACCTGTACTAACTACAGACCTATCTCAACTGCGACTTAAAAGTTGTTAAAATCTTGGTGAATAGGCTTAAACTTCTCCTTGTGAGTCTAATACATCTGAGCCAAACAGGCTGTACACCTATGTGTGATAGACTTGTGCGCCGTCAAAAAATTTGTTCTGTTTCATTTCGGAATATCCGTTATTTCATATTTCGTAATTCGTAACTGAACTCAATTCGGATTCGTACGAAATACGAATTTTCGTTAGTGGCGGTTATATTTTCGTAACTTTACGAACATTCGTTATGATGAAGCTAAAAAGCAAAATACCTTTGTTAATATTGGAGTGGTAGTTGTTTTTTTTATCCGAAATACGAATTCCGTTAACGGATTCCATATCCGAATTTCGTATTTCGGATTTTTTAAAAAACTACCATCAACTCCAATATAAATGTACTTTGCTTTTTAACTTCAATATAAAACGAATGTTCGTAACGGAACGAAAAGGCAAGAGACATTACCAGCAGAATGATAGACTTGATTTCCTACTCCAGATCAAAGGCAATACCACTATTCCTCTGTACAATTCTAAGATATTACCCTACAACACATAGGAATTCCCTCACATACACTGAGTGGCCAGATTATTATGACCACCCCATCAGTACTTCGTTGGGCCACGAGATGACTCCACGAGATGACTTCGCTGGGCCGCCTCGTGACTCCACGAGATGTTGAAAGGTGATGCGAGGAATCTGACACTGCACTGTTGCCCTTCTGTTGTCTTGTACCAGTCTTGCCACTCTCCATTCTGCCCTAACATTGACTAGTCGCTGACGGCCACAATTTGCACGTTCAGACCAAGATTTTCAGCTGACAGTCCAGTCTTTAAACACTTTAACAACAGCTGCTCTTGAACATTTAACGAATTCTGCTTTTTTGCTGATACTTGCTCCATGGCTGGAGCGCCAACAATCATCCCATGTTCAAAGGCTGTTAAATCGCGTTGTTTACCCATATCTTCAGAAAAAAAATCACTTCTACAGTCGTGGTAAACAACCTGCTTCCCTATTTATAATGGTCTGGCCCTCTACCAACTTCAGCGTGAAATTATAGCTAATTATAGCTAATTTGCCTACAAACGTCAGGTGGTCATAATAATCTGGCCACTCAGTGTATGTTGGCATGAATATGGGCACTTTATTTCTCTCCTTCTGCGGCAATTAACATCAATGGCACCACCTCCAAAAGTTATCTATCAAGAACGGCACCATCCAGGATGCCCTCTTTCACCACTCATCTTCATTTCAACACTTGAACCTCTTCTTTGAATGGTGAGATCCAATCCAAGCATCCACAGCCAGGTAATGGGTAGGTATCGGCTTTTGCAAACATTTTACTTGATTCAACCTAGGATTTCATTGCCAGCTCTCCTGAAGGATCTGCAGGTCTACCATGCCCTCTCAGACTATAAAATACATCTGCAAAAATCAAAGGTTTTTAATGTAACCTTGCTTCCAGATTATATAAATTGTTTGTAATCACATTTCCCCTTCAAATTGTCTTTTTCTGCGATAAAGTATTTGGGTGTTCCGATCATTGTGACCATGATGACCATGAACTAAACATCACCACTTTTCTAAGAGACATTTGGAATGGCCTAGACTCGTGGAGTAAAACCCCAATTACAGATGCAATATGCTGAAGATGATTGCCTTGCCCAGACTCCTTTACCTGTTGCAGACACTTTCTGTTCTGATCCCCTAAAATTTTCTGAAAACTATCCAAGCAGAATTGATAAATTGAATCTAGGTGAAGGGTGTGCCACGCATATCATATAACATATTACATCTACATAAACCAAGGGAGCTCTAATGGCAAACACCAATGGGAAAGGGACCTTAGCATTACTTTCTCCTCACAGCAGTTGGACCACATCATCCACTTTCCCATCGTGCTTCTATTTCAAATAAGATTTTAAAAATCAACTTCAAATTATGAATAGATGGTAGAAAACCCCTTCAGTACTCTCTCGACTATTCCCAGACACCAATGACAGAAGTTGGAGCTGCGGGGAGACCCAGGGCACCCTCTTGCATATCTTCTGGGACTGCCCAGGAATCTAAATATTATGGTCAGGTGTTACCCGCTTTATCCTAAAACTCACAGACAACTCTGTGATTTATCTCACATCCCAAAATCCCACCATAGAAAATCATGAATAGTCCCACGCTTTCCCATTCATTTGTGAGAGTGAGTGATAATATGTATAAGAAAGACTTAGAACTGCTGCACTTAAGGAAAAGTTGGAAACTTTTTGACAAATGTGGTTTTATTGAGTGCAAGTAACATTTTCTGATCAATACACTTCTGTCCTCTCAAGTCATCAGCTCTTCGATCACATAGATTACTGCTTGGTCTGGTTACATCAAGTCCTGTGCTCCCCATCCCCTTCCTGAAGAGGGTACAATGGTCAGTAAGTCTACTTCATCCACCCCTACCTTGACTGGGGCTTTGTAAACTAACCTAATTCCTCCCCTCCCCACTCTTCTTTCTCTTGGAACATATCCTCTGTTGCCCTATTTCTTTGTACTCTCACTCTTCCCCACTGTATTATTTCCCCTAACCACACAAAGGTGAAGACTTCCACCAGAGATACCTCCTCTATTTTGCTATCCTGTAGGTTGTATGCGAATGACACATCCACAGAAAATATGTTTATTCTTTCCTTTTGATGTTAACTTTCTCAAGGATGCTGTTTTCCTCACATTTCTGCACAAGCTCACTCATCATGCAAAATGCTGTATCGTTAATGTCTATGTTATTGTGTGATGTGATATGTCATGTGATGTATTAGCCACGTATAATATACATAAAGAATACAAAATAAAAGAGGGACAGAGTCAACTGCTAGTGGCAGTGGTAAACCATGCTTGAGACAGGAAGACCCATAAACAGTCCAAGCAGGTTTGCCCTGTGCTTTTATTCAGCAAGGCAGTAAACTAACACAGCTCAATGCAGAGGGTTTTGTACAGTAAGTCCATAGTATAAAACAAACAAGTCATTTGCTCAACCAAACCACTAACTAAGCTTAGTAGTGATTTCCCTCATCATGTGGAGGTTAGACAGGAGACACAGATACACCATCCACAATCCTGCAAGCCAGTACCTCACACTTGCTATTTCTAAGCTTGTACAACACATAGAGGAGTATAGCCACTTGATGAGACTGTGCCCTTTTGCTTCGCCTAGAGACCAATCTCCTAGAGGCTATACTACACATACAGTAGAAGATTGAATTGTGTCCCCAATAAACTACTGGGAAAAAAGGGTAAGTGCAAGAAATCCCTCCTTTGCAGTGTTGAGGACTGTTTTGCTCCTGGACATCCTTTTGGCCAGTAGTTAGGTAATATTACATTGCCATGGGATTTGGGGCATACAATGTGCTCCAGTAGACACAGATTCTGGCATTGCAAAATGTTTTTCTGTTATTTCTAAATCCTCTATAGCTTTGTTATTATTAGAAGGTAAACTTTAATGCCAATTAAAGGCTTATAGGAAATAATGAGAATTTTAGATTTCCAGCACCTGTACAAATAAAACCTAGTATAGAGGGTTAGACCACTGTGGTCAATTTCAGTCCTAGAGCAAACCGCTGTTATGCGGATTCCATGTCCAAATGAGAGTGATCAATCTCCAAATGAGAATGAAAACATCCAGTTTGCTTAAAAAGAAGTTGGCCAGGGGCATATTAAACTGTGAAGATAACAGAGATCTATTACTATGCAGATCAAGAAAATTATGTAAAGCTTGCCTGACCACGGCGAGCACCTGACCTACTTAAAAACATGTGACTGCCAGACTTGCATCCAGAGCACTGCCATATACCTTGACGGGATATAGGATATTCTAGGAGTCTAGTTGTTTGCAAACAAAATTCCTTCTGTGAAGACAATTTTAGAAATTATTTCTGTCGGAGATAAAAGATCCTTTTTTATAAATTATGGCAACAGCTATAATGTTTAACAAATGGATATGAATGTCCGCTGACAATAAAATATATACTAAATTTTATTTTTCTTCATACAGGTTTAGCCATTAGAATTATGGATGAATTCCTGAATGCAATAGAGTAAGTAATTTTACTGGGTAGCAAAGTCAGTTTACAGTATATGTGAATCTGTTTCAATGTTCTAAAGAAACTTTAGAACATCTAAGTTTTGGCCACAAACAGTGAGTGAGTGACCTAGCATTCTTCTCCCCCAAAGGGGGTCTTCTTATGGAGGGTATATGACTAGAGGGGGCAGTGCAGTTACTGAGAGAATATGGAGAAAGATATTTCTGATGACGTGCTGCATTCGGTCTGATGACTATAACATTTGTAGACTACACAAATGAAAAATGTGTTTTGTGGATTATTTGCTCAGTGTTTCTGAACAAAAATAAATTTTCAGGTCTGGAAATTCACTCCTGTTTTATAACTTCTGACAGTGTGTTTAAGTTAAATATTTGTAATTAGGTCTGTGCAACATTGTGAAATTCTCTACCTGTTTTAAGTAATAAGCTCTGTTTAAATGCTGTTAGTGTTGGCATCCCACAGAAGCTTTCAGGCGAAAAAAAGTGTAAAAAAATAAATATGTTATATATTGTGTATGTATGTATTGTCTGGATTACATTTGCATTGGCTGATTAAAATGCTCACGTAAATTATATTTCAGCCAAATGTGAGCATTTGGCCAAAATGGGATTTACGTGAGCACTTGAATCAGCCAAATGGACCCTGTCATCCTCAGCCTCCTTGCTCTTGTTTAACTCTCAGCCACCTTCCTTTCAACTTTGTGTTGCTCGCATAGAAATTGTAGCAGAAACTTGTTCTGCTGGTGCATTTATCCCCACTAATACATCCTAATCCAAGATATCACCAGCACACCATGTTTAGATGAAAAGTCAGGACAGTTTTATGTCACTAACAGGAACTGTCGGTACTACTGCCTTAAGAGATCCCTAGTGTAGCATTATAGCCAAGGATTGCTACCGCTGAAAATGGATATCAAATATGCCTCTTGTCTGTTACCTATTCATCTGAAGAGCCAGCAATTCTTCGGTTGTTATTGCCATGGGCAATTTTTCATTGATCACTGTCTTCCAATGGACTGCTCCAATTCTTGCTCCTTTTTAGACCATTAATACTTTTGAGGAATGGGTGGTATATAAGGTAGTACACGGATGTATACCGGTGTAGTGCAGGTAGGTAGTATATCGGTGCCCCACTGTCTTGATGATTTTCTATGTATAGCCTCCCTATCCCCCGCCAGGTTACAAAGTTTGCATTGCCTTGCTTCATACTTTGGAAAGTGTTCTGGAACAGTTTAAGATACCATTGCTGCCTGAAAAAATGAAGTTCCATCCATGGAGATTAAATTCTCTGGTATATGCAAGCAATTGAGTGATGTGGAACTGATGATGGTTCATAATGGAGCTGAAGTTTATCTGCTGAGAGTAGTTAAAGCTGGTGTCATTGGGAGTAACACTTTGAAAAATGTTTTGGAAGATTGAAAAATCGCACAGGTATTCCTGGCTAATCTGTCAAATCATTTAAAAGACTTCAGAAACTTAGTATTTAACTCTACAAAGTACCACTTATTGCATAAAAAAATATAAGATTGACAAATCAAATATGTGGCAGCTAGTTGTATAGGGAAAATGGTTTCAATTTGTTTGTATATTTCATTTATGTGGTTTATAGTTGTGAATAATGCCCATTTCAATGCCATAATGAAAACACCCATCAGCACTACATTGAATATTAAATACATTTATAACAGTATGGTATTTTCTGAATAAGGTATTGTAATTTTTCTCCATTCAGCGGAGTACTAGCACAGCATGGGGAACCCTTCAGCAACTATGCCAGTAGACCAAGTGCAAAAAACATCTATGGTAGGAAATATCTGCATTTACAAATGTCTTTTCTCAAATGTAACACTTTAACTGTTGCAGAGTATACTAACATCCCATTCTTTTCAAGCCAAAATTAACATTAGCACTGGTAATGCATTATTATACATACAGTAAATTCTAATTTACACAGAGTAGTAATTACTTACTAAAGTCACTCATTCTGTGAATATATGAATTTATACTTAATTGTTGAGGGTGATTTATGGAGCAGGAATCATCCAATGTGAGAAGTATTTCTCCTTGTGTGAAGCTCAAGTTTCACAGCAGCAATGCTGACTGTATTATGAAAATGAGATGTAAGGCTACTTTCACATTGTGCATTTTGGGATCCCTGCGGCAGTTAGTGCATCCAGTGACAGTGGTCCATTCCAAACTGCATGTAATCATATCACATACGATTGCATACAGACTGTCATTCACAAATGCGGCCGCTGTCACCTGGTCATTAACTTGAACGGGTGACAATGGCTGCATGTAAACTTGACATTTAGGATTCATTCCACAGGAATCTGTAGGTTCCTGCTGTAGGAATCCCCAAATGAAAAGTGTAAATAGGGTCTAAGGAAGAAGCACAGGCGCAACGTAGTTGGGACAAGGGCTGCAATCGTTCTAGAACTAGGAAAAAAAGGGACAGCTATGAAGCTGCTATTGATTGTTGAGATCATATGCACCCCCAGTGCAAAGCAGACATTGTGTACCCAAACGTCGTGGAGAATCTGAATTGTATAGGATCTATACTGTAGTTACCAGCTGGAAAAATATGTAATAAGACCCACATTAAATGTATAGTATCTGGACTCCATTAGCATATTTGAAAAATTCCCAGTATTCTATAGGTAGAAAAAAAAGTAGTAGACAGAACTCTCACTACATCAATTGAAAGATCTGATGTCTATATATTTCAGCATTTCATGTGGATGTCCTTTGACCCGATCTACCTATATCCCATTCGAGTATTTTTCCTAAAACCCTATATCGCCTCCTGCGAATATCTTCATACCTTCATAGTTATATAGTTTCCTCCTCACATCACTAAATGTTCTTATACTTTGAAAAGAAGATGTACATCCTTGAGATATTGTTCCAATGTTTTAACTTTTTCATACTGGTCTGTGAATTTCTCCTATTATAACTGAATGTCTTGTAACCTACTGTTATATGTAGAGATTCAAAAGGTATAATGGCTGTTGACATGTTTTACATGCCAGTACTTGTTCATGTATGTTTTACTTTATAATTAATACAAATTGTGCATGCTAAAAAAATATATATATATCTGTGTGTGTGTATATATATATATATATATAGGCTTCTAGGCCTTATCTCTTAAAAAGTTGGTAAGTAGAGGAAAGGTGTGGGGCATTGTACCTCTTAAAGCAATAGGTGTTCTCAGTCAGGTTTTAAGCAGTATAAATGGAATGATCATCCTTAGGCAGGTGTAGCTAAAGGTTGACTTCTTACTTAAGTATGGACTTGGTGTGCAAAGAGGAAAGTGCCAAAAGAAGAATGTATAAAGTCCAGATTTAATGCTCAAACTAAAACTTAGTTGCAGAAAAAAGTATGTGGAAAAGTAAGTGTCCTTATCTTAATATTTATGTTTTAGATTGATAAACAAAAACATAAACGAGCACGTAACCCTTGCAATGCAGGGGAAGACCCACTGCAAAGGTTAATAAAAAAGTTTTCCTGGTGCTTTTCTTCAAATGGTATTAACATGGATGTCGGCATAAAACGAGCGGCGTGCGTTCCACGCTGGAACGCGGAAGTCACATGTGCCGGCCGGCGTCTCCTCCCACCTCCACCCCACCTATTTAAAGCCCCAGCTCTGTCAGCATGGCGTTCAACAATTGCCTCTGAACGCCTGCTGACAATTGAACCCTGCAGACCAGACAGAGTCTCCTCACTCTCCACGGATCATCCTCCGGTGGGACCCACACCCTGCACCTTCGCTGCTCTGCCAACCTTCAAACAGCAAGTATAGCTCCACTGGGAGCCTGTTACAAACTGTCAGCTACTTTGATCAAATCACTGCTGTGCTACTGCTATCACTGATACCATTGTGGGGAGATTCTAGAGTTGTTCAGGAGGTCTGACAACCATACTGCTTTACCAAGAAGATAACAAACCGTTTAACCCTATACTATACCGTTGCCCGGGCTATGAGGAAATAGCCCATCTATTATTTCACGTTTTAACATTGGCTGTGATGCAAGAGTCTCAAACTCCCCCTTGAGACTGGGAGTGACGCCTGAGACTCACGACTGAGAAGCCATTACCTCCATACACGCCCTCGCTCTCTCTCCGCAGTTGCGCTCCAGTGCGACCCACTACAGTAGACGTTACAGATATACTGTCCAATTTGAGTATTCTTATTTTTTTTTGTTGTGTATACAACAAAATTAATGCTAATACCTCTAATTATTAAAATTAAATAATTACTGTAGTTATAATGTAGTTTTACTTTGTTCTTATCATGTTGCAGAGCAGAGGAAACAGTATGCAAAGACAGTATCCAATGACACCAACAACTTTCAGCATAGAGTGGAGGTAAGAACAATACAAAAGTCTTTGTGGGGGTATGGGGTAGGGGTTAATTAGAAGACCATATGAACATACTGTATACTGTAGTTATCTTTTAAACGGGAGCAGACAAAATCTGGAGCAGCTGTGCATGACAACCAATCAGCTTCTCTCTTTCATTTTCAAATCTTAACTGAACAAACTGAAGAGAGAAGATGATTGGTTGCCACGGGCAACTTCTCCAGATTTTGTAAAATGGTTTATATTTAATATGTTAAAACTGAAAATACATGTTCTTTTTTATTATCATGGATATACATAGAATATATCCTGAATATGAATATTTAATGTCTACTTTTCCAGCCAGCAGGTGGATCTATAGGATTCGTTTCATGTGTTTACCTTTTTATACTGCTTATTTAAAAAAAAACTTTTATTTTCGAACACACTAACTCGAGGTCAAATTTACACACAAAACTAAATGAGTCAGAGGAATCTCCCCCTTGTTGCCTGCTTTGTTCACAGGAACCTTGAATTATCAGAGAGAGTCAGATAAACAACAGCTTCTTCTTATTAGAAAAATCCATAATGCACTGTGAATCTAATGTAATATGGTGCTTGGCTTATTGTTACGTTGCTGGTTAAAAAATGTACACATAAACATGATTTATAAGCTTTTCAAAACATACATGCATATGATTTTTTTTCGTTAAGTAGTTCACTTTTACAACTTGAAAAAATCTAACTAGAACATGCCTAATTATAACACATATAAAACCCAGAGGCAAGAGCAAAAAAAGTCCCCCCCATTTTTATTTTTTTAATTTAATTTATTTTTACTATGGGGGGGGGGGGGTTTCGGGGAAATATTAGGGGTCTAAACAGCCCCCTGATATTTCCCTTTTAAAATAGAAAAATAATTTGAGGACACAGAGTCTTTAATCTCTTTTTCTGCAGCCCCTGTTCTAAATGAATAGAAAGTACAGAGGCTTCCCATTCATTCAGAAAATATTTTCTATCAACCGGTTTCTGAATGGGGAGAAGCCTCTGTACAGAGTGCATTAGCCTCTGTACAGAGTACCCATTCAGAAACTCATGAATGAACAGGAAGTGATGTAAAGCACTTGAATGAACAGGAAGTGATGTAAAGCACTTCCTGTTTATTCATAACTGGGGACACATAGTACTATGTGTCCCCAGTTATTTACAAACACTGGAGTGATCTGCTCAGCACTCCAGTGTTTGCTCTGCATCCAGAGGATTGGTACATATCACTGATATGTACCGATCCTTGCCGCTTGGCCACGCACAGATGTGCAGCACAGCGTGCAGGAGGGATCTAAGGAGAAAACCAGCGCTGCAGCCAACTGGGGGAGCGGAGGAGGCAGCCGCTGTCACGGCAGCATGGCCCGAGCGGTGAGAAGAGGAGAGCCGCCGGCTGTCAGATCTCTGATGCTGAGCATGTTCGGCTGAACCGAAAGGAGCCGAATCCAGCCGATATACTGCTGAAATCAGCCGTACTCGGCTGAAGTGAATAGCTGAACGTCGTTCAGATCCCTTCACTTGGCCCCAGTTATTCACTCGGCTGCCTTCGGCAGCTTAGTGAATAACCCCCTTAGTGTTACTAATATACAAACTATTTATAAAACAGTGCTACAGCATATAGATGTCCAAATTCTGATTCAATAAAAGTTCACACATCTTTTTATATATGGTTTTCAAATTACTTTTTGGACAGTCAGTAAGCGGTTTTTCAGACCTGACTTTTATCTAGGTCTTTACTTACATGTAACGGGTGATTGACATCCAAGCCTCTAAGCTCCAGATACCATGTGATCTCTTCTGTCCTCTGGCTCTGTGCTCTACTAGTTCTCCCATGCTCCCTGCAGAACTGGCAGGCGATCAAGCTGTCTTTACCAAGGCTCACAAAGGATTGAGGGAACTGAGAGCAACTGGGCAAAAAAGCTGCAATCAGTTTAATCCCAAAAAATATTTTTATTAAAACAAGCTTCAGCCTCAAAAACAGCTTTTCTTTCATCTCAGCTGAGACTCCTCTCAAGTGGCACAGGACACCACAATGTTATCCCGTTTGGCCATGCAGTGTAACAAAGTTGTGTAAATCATAAAAGCAGTTCATAATACAAAAATACTTTGGCAGGTAAAGCAAGCTAGTCAATGGTATAGTGTACATTGTTTGAAAACATTTTTTTCACTTGCATCTGATTTCTGAAACTGTTTTTTTTTTTGTATTTTAGCATTTGCTAACATGTGAATTGGGCAATGATATAAGATATGTAGAGGATTGTCTGAAACGCCTCCAAATCTTGAATTCAGAGGGTAAAGTATGGGGCCAGGATATGATTCTTAAGGTACAAAATGGAGAAGTGGTCTTATCTGACCTGGAGTCAAGGGTAAGATGTTGATGTCTGCTTGAAAATATTTTAATATGACATTCACAGTACAGATTACAAAGTTGTCTATTTCTTGTTACTAATATAAAAATGAAATGCATTCCCATGTTTACTGGAAATTCCATATTTTTGTGTACTATAAATACCCTTTTGGATCCAATTCTTGATTCTGTTTAGTCCCATTCACTTTGCCATCTCATTTCCTTGACCCTTACTATTAAAAACCTGAGGATGTTATAATTTCTTACTGTCTGGATGTTGGTGTCCTGATTCTGAAAGCAATAACCATTATCTGAGAGTCTGATCACAATATATTGTAGTTCCCCTATTTAGCTTGGCTGAATGACATAATAGCAGGTCCTATCCTAGATTTACTAAAGCAGAGAGAGAGAAGGGGAAAAAACTGGAGTGTGCACTAGATTTAAAAAATTGCTTTGTCTCTGTTTGGATACTCTCTGCAGCCTAGGGTTTATACCTGTTTGACCTGAAAAGTAAAGTTTTTAAACCCTTTGCCCTATTTCTATGTCTTTTCTTTACATTTCCTGCAGTTACACAACTGCTATATTGCTTGCCATTTCTTTGGATGTCCTTGATGTGCCCCTCTACTGCAGATCAGCTAATCAGCTCATACTTCAGAGGAGCAATCAGCCACTCATAGTTAGAAGAAAGAGGCTGCAAGAGTAAAGAGGCTGTGACGCAGGGAAGAAGAAAGTGTCAGGCGCTAAGGCTAATAAATTGCTGTAGAGACAAAGGTTGAATATATTGCTCACTGACGAGTGAGAAACAAAATAATTGTGGTAGGAGAGATAAGAGCTGGAGACAGCGATAAGTTAATTATGCTAATAATCTAAGAGCGCTTTGTGTTCTGATGTAAAAGTATGCACATAATAATGTACTTATGGCATTAAGGTGATCGTTACCTGAGCAGAAGTTCAGTTCCAGCTACCATCTACTTAAATCACAGAAAAGAACAGGAGTGAGGCCACTGGGAAAGGGAGCAAAGTGATTTTTACTTGAGTGGACTCTGCAATAGGTATTTACAGGGATCATTTACTCCTGGAAGTCCTGGAAGGGACTTGGATAGTTCCAGGAGTCTCTTTGAACATGTTTCCCTCTTCTCCTGGATATTAAGTACTAGATATAGAGATATGGGTGTCTGGTTTTCTGTGTACCAGGGAATGTTTGTATACATTCCTCCATGACACACAGTTTGAGCACATACCCTGGATATGTACCAGTGGACTAGAACACACATACTGAGTCTATGTGTACCACATTGTATGGACCAACATGTACATAGTGCCAATGATCAAGCAGCATTACATTTATTGGCAAACGGTTTGTGGTGTACATCATTGACACCCAGTGATTATTATTCTGCATAGCATATACTATCTGGCAGATACATATCTGTTTACATTATACCATATCCTTTGAGCAGGACTCCAATTTTTCTTTATGTGGTATCAGGTTGTATGGTATATCCATGCTTTCATGGAGAGTGGATTTATATTTCTTGCAACTATATACCCCTTGAGGATTATGTATAATATGGATGGATTTCCAATATTAATGCATGATCATTTTCCACAGCCTTGAAGGTGTCCTTGTATAGAACTGTATAAGCACAGGCACTGCAGTAGATAGGAGTTGTTTTTAGTTTTTTTGGAAGACCATTTTTTTCTAGATATGTGAATACATAATAAAGTAATTATGTAATTCTTTTTCTACTTTAAAGTGACACTAAACTCATGAGTTAAATCTTAAAAATGCATTCAAGTACCTTAACTGTTAACAAAAATGTAGCTTATTTGTGAATTATTTAGATCTAGATCCTGAAATTATCTCTGACCTGGGGCTGACACTGTCCTTCCTTCTGCAGGGTGGTTTCTTTTGTTACCCATGGTCCCTGTGTGTTGTAAATAGCCGCCACCTCAAGCTCACTCCTGTGATGGACTATACTTTCAATACAAATTAGTAAACTAAACATGAGATTATAGTCCATTGCGGGAGCAATCTTGGAGGGGTGACTACTTTACAACACACATAGGGACCATGGGAAACAAAAGTAGCCATCCTCCAAAAGGAAGAAAAGTGTCAGCATGAATTCAGAGATGATTTGAGGATCTACAGCTGAGTGATAGAAAAAGTAAGGTACATTTTTATTAATTAGTAAAGGTACTTCAATGCACTTTTAAGATTCAACTTCTGCATTTAGTGTCATTTAAGTATATGTGTGGCTTATTTGCAGAGCACCAATGCCTTTTAGGTGACAGATGTGAAAAACCTTAAAGAAATGTTTATTTGTTTTCTGTGAAGATACATCATGCACGTGAAAGGGATTGGTGCTATAGTAGAATTATTTGGAAGTTTATTGGTTTATGTTTATTGTGACCCTTGTAGATCATCCTTTCTTTCCCTCTACTTTATGCATCTTTTTTTTAACAGGATCCATGATTATACAAATAATTTGATTATATGACATGTATTCATTACAGGACAGTCTTGAAAATATCCCGTTGCAATATATAGAAAACTGCCGTTCTAAGATGGGGCACTCCTCCTATAATTCTATTCTTGCAGTTACTGTCCAGAACAAGGGAAAATCAAGCATAATGCTGTTCCAGTGCGAAGAACAACCTGTAAGTTAAAACTATGCACACTAGTTTTACACTAGTATACCCTTCATCTTTCTCCCCTATTAGGCACTATGCACACTAGTTTTGACTGCATTTAAGTCTACTACACCATACTTAAGCTAACTGCCTAAAATGATATTTTATGATATTAAGTATGGTCTACTACACCATACTTAAGCTAACTGCCTAAAATTATATTTAAACCCAAGAACAAAAATATAATATATATTGCAGCTTACCAGTCCTTAGATATAGTGGCTACATTAGTTTTCATTTTCAGGCTAACAGCGCTTTTGATCAAATCCAGAAAATACCCATTGACCTTGGCAGAAATGCAGTGTCCTTGTCAAAGCTATCTCTGTAAACTACTAAATTCACATCCCCATGTAATAAAGTTGATGCTGCCACCATAGACACTGTGGAGTAAGTAAGTCACCCTGAGACACAAGTGTGCTCTTTTACAGGATTACCATGTAAAAATAAAGGAAAGCCTGAAAAAAAGGAAACCACATCTTCATAGATCTCAGTCCCCAATCACATCTCAGTCCCCACTGTGTTGTGCATGTATATACTAATATATATATACTGAGTGGCCAGATTATTATGACCACCTGACGTTTGTAGGCAAATTAGCTATAATTTCGCGCTGAAGTTGCTAGAGGGCCAGACCATTATAAATAGGGAAGCAGGTTGTTTACCATGACAGTAGAAGTGATTTTTTTCTGAAGATATGGGTAAACAACGCGATTTAACAGCCTTTGAACGCGGGATGATTGTTGGCGCTCGGAGCCATGGAGCGAGTATCAGCAAAGCATTAGAATTCGTTAAATGTTCAAGAGCAGCTGTTAAAGTGTTTAAAGACTGGAATGTCAGCCAAAAATCTGGGTGACAGTGCGAATTGTGGCCGTCAGTGCCTAGTCAATGTTAGGGCAGAATGGAGAGTGGCAAGACTGGAACAAGACAACAGAAGGGCAACAGTGCAGTGTCAGATTCCTTGCATCACCTTTCAACATCTCGTGGAGTCATCTCGTGGCCCAACGAAGTACTGATGGGGTGGTCATAATAATCTGGCCACTCAGTGTAAATATATATATATTATATGTATATATATTTGAAAAATTCTAATGGACATTTCAGCACACACAGGACATTTGCCAAGGAGATACCTAGTCTGCTTGGCTGTTGACAGAGAGCTGGTTTCTCACAATGGAGGGTGCCTTCTAAACAGACCAAACTGTTTTTTGATAATGGAATGGCTGTCCTGTATTGTTTCCCCATTATTCGTATCACAATGGGATGGTGTTATGGGGAAACCTTGTGTAAACAAGCACGGCTAGGCTGGTCAAGGCTTATTCACCATTGACTACTGATGGCAATTCATGATGCAACGCTGCCACCTAGAGCTGTAAAAAGTGAAATACAGGTTGCATAGGGACTCATCCAAGTCTTGAGGGGCACCACCCACAATGGCGATGCTCATTTCTCTAATAAAAGCCAGTAGCTTAAAACTGAATAGAGGACTTCAGAATGGAACTTTAAGCAAGAGAGGACATCACACTGACCAAGAGAGGACTCACCATGGAACTCTGAAACAAAGGACTTGGACACCAGAGACTCTAACCAGAAGCCTGTTTTTTTTACAGAATTTATGGAATATGCAGCTGGAATATGCAGCTGTGTTCCAAGCTTTTGAAGTCTGCACCATTTAATTTCAGAGCTCCTTTTTGTCTTTGCTGGGAGGCCAGTGATGACAACATTAGCCTAGAGTTCCTTAATCCCTAAATTCCTTTTCCCTAGGGAGGAGTAAGAGAGTCTCAGGAAGGGGTACTCAGGAGTTCCTAATCCTTTGTGAAGGAAAGGTGGGTCTTCAGTGATAGCAGTGAGAACAGTGACAGCTGGAGACCGAAGGCCATTTGTACCTTTTATGTTGGGTAAAGTCCTCTTCTCCCACACATGAAATGGCTTTAGTAGATACTGGAGCTGAAGTTACACTGTGCATGGTAATCAATCACATCACAAAGTAGAAGTGATTTAGGTAGAAGGTTTGGGAGGGCAGACCACACCAACAATTAGGACACGGGTGAAACTGGCTATTGGAAAGGGACCGGGATTTTGGACCAATGTTTTAGTGTCAGAATTGCCTGAAAATATTCTTGGTATGGATGTACTTCAAGGTCAGACAATCCAGACGGTACGGGGTTCATTCATATTTGGGTATCCACACAAAGCGTATCTGGTAAGGGCAGTGAAAGCTGTGGTCAGAGGTCATGCAAAATGGACCCCGTCTACATTCCTCCACAAGAGAAGCCAATCTGCCTTAAGCAGTACAGGCTGCCAGGAGGCCACAAAGATATAGGGGGAGACTAGTCAAGAACTGTTGAGAGTAGGGATCCTTAGACCTGCTGTAACTCCTTTCTCAGCTCCGGTGTTTCCAGTAAAGAAACCGGATGGGACTTATCGAATGACTGCGGATTACAGAGGTCTAAACAGAGAGGCACCTCCATTAAAATCAGCTTTACCTGATATGATCTCCATCACAGAGAAAATAGCCAAAGAGGCAGGAGAATATCATGCTGTGATAGACTTGGCTAATGCTTTCTTTTCAATCCCAATAGAGCCAGAGTGTCAAGACCAGTTTGCCTTTGTGTGGTACATCCGCCAGTACATTTTCACTGTGCTTCCTCAAGGATACCTTCATTCACCAACAATTTGTTATGGACTGATTGCTCAAGATTTGAGCACCCTGAAGTTGAAAGTCGCTATGTTTCACTACAGTGATGACATCATGATCTCTGGAACCGGAGGATGTAACTGAAACACTGTACCTTTTGATACAGCACCTGGAGATCAGAGGATGTGCTGTAAAGAAAGATAAAGTTCAGGGACCGGCTACAGAGGTAAAATTCTAGGGAATTATGTGGACTGGGCCACAGAGGAAAATTCCAGAAACAGTTGTGCAAACTATTCAGGGATTGTTACCTCCTACTATGAAAAAGGAAGCCCAGAAATTCAGTAGAGTTGTGGGATTCTGGGGATCGTTCATCCCACATCTTGGACTGATGATACTGAGGCCCATATACAATGGGACACAGAAAAAGACTGAGTTTTCATGTGATTCTGAACAGCAGACCACATTCCCTGCTGCTAAAGAAGTTATTTTTCAGCACAAGGGACTGAGACTCGTGAGACCAGGAGAACAGTTTCAGCTGTACGTAGTTGAGCAGGATGATACCAGATCCTGCAGTTTGCGGAAGCCAAATGAGAAGAATGAGAGAGTAGGCTGCAGTTGTGCCATTTGATCCTGTTTTGATGAACTTGGCAAACTGGGCCCACAAGCAATCAGGACATTTGGGGCAGAAAGAAACGTATGAATTTGAGCAACAGAGAGGTCTGCCCATAACCATGGATATGATAAAGACTGTGATAGGAAACTGTACAGTGTGTGGAGAAGTGCAACAATGGCCACCACAGAAGTATTCCAACTGGACCATCAAGAGGGGCAGAGGCCTGCAGAGATTTGGCAGATTGACTTCAGCAGTCCCCTGCCCCGGGGGAAACAATGAACTGAGATATTATTTCAGTGCAGTAGACACCTATTCAGGACTTTTGATTGTCCATCCTTGCAAACATGCAGATCAAGCTGCAATGCTCCAATTGCTCTAGAAGATAATCATTTCCTATGGCCACCCAAATGAAGTTCATAGTGATAATGGATCACACTTCACCGGATCTACAGTACAACAGTGGGCCAAAGATTCTGGAGTGTACTGGCTGTGCTACATCCCATACCATCCACAGGCGGCTGGTTTAATTGAAAGATACAACGGTCTATTGAAGGACCAGATATGCAATCTTACACCCACACATACACTGAAGGGGGTGGGGTCGGGACACAGGTAGATCTGTTGTTAAATTCTAGACTCATAGCCAGAGGCACACCATATGAGAGGATAGTGGGGGCTAGAGCACAGATTCCGCAGTTGGAGTGCAGAATACAGTATTTATATGAGGTTCCCCAAGAAACGGGTTCTAATACTTACCAGATCACTGCTTCCCATGAAATAGAAACAATGTCTGATATGTCTGAAGCTGAGGCCTATCTAGGAATAAGAGGAGATCTGGCAGGAAGGTTTGAAGTTATATTTACATTGGCAGATGAGCTTCAGGATGGTGATTTGGACTCTGACTGGTTAGTTGACACTTCTCAGTCAGAGTGGAAAGTGAGGCTCTATAACCTTAAACCTTCCAAGATAAATTGTAATGTGACACTGGAAAATATCAGTATATTTCCTTTCCTCCCTATTGATGTTCTTTGGTTGCCACCGAGAGCTGTAAAAAGTGAAATCCAGGTTGCATAGGGACTAATGCAAGTCTTGAGGTGCACCACCTACAGGTGGGATGCTAATTTCTCTAAAAAAAGACAGTAGCTCAAAACTGAAAAGAGGACTTTAGAATGGTACTTTGAGCAAGAGAGGAAATCACTCTGACCAAGGGAGGACTTCAGAATGGAACTTTGAGCAAGAGAGGACATCACACTGACCAAGAGAGGACTCACCATGGAACTCTGAAACAAAGGACTTGGACACCAGAAGCCATTTTCCTGCAAACGCTTAATTGCCAAGAAGTCCTGTTTTTTACAGAATTTATGGAATATGCAGCTGGAAGCTAAGTAATATTAGTGCTTCCGTTCGTAGAAACCACTACATGTAGAAGAAAGGATAGTGTAGTGAGTGCATGTATGTTTGTTTGTAGCAGCCTGTATGTATGTTTTTTGTTTTTCTTTTCCTGTAACTAAGTTTGTGCACGTAGCATTTTCGCCTAGTAAATTACTTTAAATGCTACTGGGTCAGTTTCCTTGAGCTTTACTGCAAGAACAGACAGCAAAAAATAGAGATGAAAGTTTTGCCAAGCATTACATTTGGGGGCTAGTCCCTGGGATAAACTCTACATTTTGGGTGCTGGTCTTTGGGATCTGTAGTTTCCAAAGCAATACATTTGGGCTCGTCCTTGGAAAAAGCTATACAATTTGTGCGCTGGCCTTTGGGATCTGTAGTTCTCAAGCAAAACCCCCATTCACACAAGAGCGACATCTTTTTAGCGTGTTTTTGCACGTTTCACCTTGTTTTACAGGCGTTTTCTGTTCATATGTAAGAACTTTTAAAGCTTGTTTTCAGCTCGTTTTCAATTATCCAATGAAAATCAGTCTCAGCTGCAAAAACGTGCTAAAAAAAGTGCAAAAACGCACTGATCGGCACCTTTACATTGGAGTCTATAGAGGAAAACGAGCAGATAAGCGCCACAAAAGCTCATGGACTATTTTTAAACAACAGGTGTATTGTTACGCGCAGTTCAGCGGCCCCTATTGGAATACGTGGGATTTTAATTTCCATGCATTTCAGCGTGGGTGGAAAAAACACGCAAAGAAAAGCCCTGGTGTGAACAGGGCCTTAAGACTGGTAAGCTGCAATATTATACATTTTTCGTTTCTGGATTTAGGTAAACTTTAAAATGTTGATGTTAGGCTGCCTTTATAGTTTTGAATTTTAGTTGTTTTTTCCCCACAAAGCCTAACTGCATAAAACATTTATTTAAGTGACTGTACAGTACTTAAGCCAAATTTCTAAGTTGCTCTGCAGTAAAAAGAAATACTGTTTACTGTAATATTGTAATTCCTATGATGCCACGCAGTTCTGTGCAGAGATATTAGCACTAGGATATTCGCACTGCTTTTTCTGGAGTAGTGCTCGTGCTGCAGGTAGTGATGCCCTGCCCTAAGGTTACCCTCACACTTATCCTCTCTTTAACTCTAAAGCTGGCCATACGCCAAAATACCTGAACAATGCCTGCATCCAATCAGGTTGTTCAGGTATTTTGAGAGCCAGCGGGACCGACTAGCAAGATACTGAAGCTTGGCCCAGTGGGAGATTCCTCCATCCACACAGTTTAGCGTAGATGGAGGAATCTGTTGCAGTTTTTCCATCTGACAATAGAAAATGTGCAGACAACCTATAGATGTATGGCCAGCTTAACACTCTAAATGTTACTTAAAGTGAAAACTAAGTTCCACTTTTTAAACATTTTAAGAAACAATATTTTTTTTTTAGCAAGCTAGGCATACAAAGTCTATTTTGCCCAAAAACAAAACAAAAAGCAGAACTACCTTTGCAAGTCTCCTTCTTAATGCAGAGAATAGAGAAATAGGTGTAGTCCCTTGATGATCAGTGCCATCAAATGGCTGAGGAAGAGTGGTGTGGGTCTTGGAAGGAATGGTGAGGGGCATGGCAGCAGTGATGGAAGAAGTGGCCCCAGCAGTGATAAGTCAGTCCTGACCTGTCACTGCTGGAGGAGAGCACACTGACCGATTCACAGTGTTCATCAGTGAAGAGAACCTGTAGAATCCAGTCTCCCGTGATTTCCACTTTGCAACAAACTTACTTTTCCTGAACAGCATAAAGGTGCAAATATATCTTATAAAACATTGGTCAGATGCAACCATATAAGGATTGTATTGGGGAATATTTGTATGTTTGCAAGCATCGCTTTTCAGGCACACACATGCAAATTGTTGGCCTGCTTCTACAAGAGGCAGGGTACTAAGCTGACAGTACTTTCATTAGTACTATATATAAAAGTAGTTAGCAGCTGTTGAATTATTCCTTGTGCTAGTTAGGGTAGCCAATAACTAAGGAGGGCATTAAAAAACAGGTACTGCAGCTGCTATAAATAGAAAAAACTGAGCTTTGCACATTTATAAAGCAAAATTATATGTTTTACAAATGTGCATTTTGCTCTGCCAGCTCTAGGACTCTGAAGCAAATTGACTGCAATGAATATGAATTCATTGTAAAAAATAAAAAAAACAGTCCTGTTACCTGACAGCCTCCCATTTAATCATAGAGCTCTCTTTGCTGTAATAGGCAGAGAAAACTTTGTGGTGCATACCCCTATGAATAATGTTATTCGCTCCTTGTTGTAATTGGGCCACTGTGTCATATTCCTAAACAATATGCCTGAATTTGACATGTCTTTAGTGATAAGTACAAAGTTTATGGTGTGCCCCATGCCAAAATAGTTTTTTTTTACTTTAAAGAAGCTGCTAAGTTTAAGAAGTCAGATAAGTAGGGTTGAATGTTTTTAGATCAACTTTCTGATCAAATGTTCTTTTTTTCAGAAATAAACTCCCGAGGATGTTGATTCAGAGTGATTTAAATGAACGCGATCCCTCTTCCCAATACAGTTTTCGTGCGGACAGCCCTAGATTACCTCACAGTAACAGAGAAACCCCACAAGGTGGGTATTACCTATTCATGACTACATTTTGAAACATTTAATCCATATACTATACATTTAGGTGTGGAGTTTGGTTTTTAGTTATTAATAGGTGAGTATTACAATAAAGTGTCATGTTATTAGAGAAATATGTGAGCAATGCTCTTGATGACTTTTGAAAACATTAGTTACCTGGCGGCTTTGTTGAACCTCTTGATTTAGTAGTCTCTAAGTTACTGACCAAGAACAAGGGGCATTGGGGTATCCCTTAAAATTCCTATCAGACCTAAAGGGTCTGATATGTCTTTGTAGGGGAACCCCACACTTTTTCTGTTTTGTTTTTGACATCAGGGTCCCCCTAACATCCCTACCAGACCTAAAGGGTCTGGTATGAATTGGAAAGGAGAACCCCACACTTTTTTTTTTTAATTCTATTTTTTAACCACATTTCATTGGTTTGGTCCACTTTGGTGGACCATTCTCCTCGTTCTGGCTGTTTGTTCGGCTTTGCTGAGCCAAAGCATGTTCGTTCAGCTCGGCTGCGTTCAGGTGTTTACTTTAGCTGCCTTCAGCTGCTGTACGCACTATTGAGAATAGCGCATACAGCAGCCCTTCGGTTCGCCTGAACCAAAGGGTTTCTGCAGCCGAAGCAAACCAAAGGATAAGCCGAATGTTTGGCTAAATCCTTAGGATCTTTATTAAATACCCCCCATGTGTTGGCCCCTTCTTTTATTTATTTATTTTATTTATTTATGTTTAAAACTTTTACTGCCAGGCTTTTGTTTTTATACTGTGTGCTGAAATGCAGGCTTTAGTGAACATTAATTACCACTTCCAGGCCACAATACGACTATAGCCGGCGGCATGCAGAAGTGATTTTAACAGCGAGCGTTGGCTGTTAATGTACAAGTTATCCGGTGTCTATACAGCCACCGGATCGTTTCTGCCGTGCGGAGCCCTCCCCTCACCAGCCCAGGACTGACTCGGCTGGTCTCCCCGCAGGGATCGGAGAGAGATTCAGTGGCTTCCAGATCAGTGGCTTCTCCTCCGATCACTGGACCCAGAAGTGATGTGTATCACATCACTTCCGGTGTCACTGTTTACATTCTCTGGCTCTTAGAGCCAGGAGAAGAAGCTGGGGAAGCAGATCTGTGCTTCCTCAGCTTCTTTGGGGTCCCTAGGTGATATTACGGGTCAGAAACACTACTGATGTCTCCATAAAGAGGACCTGTCACATCCTACCTGCTATTACACAGGGGGCTTGTTAGCCCCCTATGTGGTAGCAATAAGGTTAGTGTAAAAAAAAAAAAAAGGGTTTAAAAATTTACAAAATTAACAGTAACATATAAGAAAAATAAAAAAATGCAAATATTTTTTTTTAAAGTGGCCTGCCCCCCACGTGCACGCACATACACACGCAAATACGTGTCGGTGCGCCTACGTTCAAAAACGACAATTGCGCTACACATGTTACATATCGCCGCGAACATCTCACTCAGGTCCTGGAAACAGATGACGTCAATGAGCTGGGCGGCACCGCCCAGAGCATTACAGGTTGCTGAGAGCTCTTAGCAACCTAGGACGCTGTGTCCGCCCTCCTGCCGCCCCCCACACTACCCGGTCGCTCCCTAATGAGATGCCACCTGAGGCAACTGCCTCATTATAGTGATAGCCCTGTACAAACACCTTATTACATACACAGTATTCAGCTACAAAACATAATGAGCACAAGGCTGTTGATTCTGGGCACTGATGTATATTGCTGTTAGGGATAAAAGAACTTTTGGGGAAAAAAATCATCATTCCATCAAGCATCAAGATTTCACACCTTTTCCTGGAATCACAGGAGAATGCTGTAGAGAGCAGTGCCTTGTGATTATGTGGCACAGCTTTCTGCAGCATTTAAGATCCGCCCACCGCTGCAGAAGAAATGGGCAAAGAGGACCTGTGATGTAATCAGACCTTTTCAAAGACACCTGGGAAAAAGGTATGTGTAAAAACTGGGGTATTTACAGTTGTCTCAACTGAAAAGGGGGAACAAACAAGGGGGACTGGCAAGCCCATAGTTGGTCTTTAAGCAAAGGGTAATTTTTTTTTGCATTTAACCATTGTAATATATTGTAAACATTTATTGGACTTTAGGAAAGCCTGCAGGACTTTGAAATGCACATATACAGTTTGTCAGAATTGTAACTACAGTAACAGCTTTTTCAGGCAACTGTGTAATGTAAAAGTAAAAGTAATAATTTTGAATCGCCTGTTACTGCAGTTTAAATTACAGGTATACAAAAACAGGTATACAAAAACATTATACATTCCCTTTTAAAGGTTATAAAACCACAAGTCTCAAAATGGTCTTACTTACTTACTTACCTGTGTCTGCAGCGCTTGCTCCTGGCTGCAGAACACATCTTCCAGACGTCTGTGCAGTGTAGGCGGGCGCATGCGCAGTAGAGATCACCGGCGGGGTGAAGAGGAGAGACTCCATAGAAGTAAATGCACATGGCCGGGAATGTGCACGCCGGATATACTCTGTGGGACACAGAAGTCTGTGGTGGATCAGAGAACAGACCAGTACCAGCGCTGGTCTCTGATCCGGCAAAAACTTGACTTTAATGTCTGTTTCAGCTTATTGTTACTTTTATATATATATAGAGATATTAGGGTTGCACAGATACCAAGTACAGTACTTGGTAGAAGTACGAGTACATGCACCGATACTTTTGAGCTCCAAAACTAGACTAGAGAAAAATTCAAAAATTAGGAGGCAGCTGTCATTTGTAAGGACCACACAGAGCTCCTGGGATTTGTACATCTCTGTTTTAATGTACGATTTTGTTTTTATAAATATATATAAAGGGATGCACAGATAACAGTTTTGTGAGTACGAGTACTGATACTTGCCGAGTACTTACAAGTACGAGTACTGATACATTTTTGTTTATTGTCATGTGACAGTTTTTCTAAAACAATACAGACTAATGATTTCAGGACAGTGGTGGAGCGCCAGAGCTAGGTCTCAGATGCAAGCGCTGCAACCCTGGTAGTTCTCATGAAAATGCCAAGTATCGGCACTCGTACTCGAAAAGTATCTGTGCATCCCTAATAGATATATATATAGATATATATATATCTATATATATATATCTATATATATATATATATATAGATATATATATATATATATGCATACAAGTCTTTCAAAAATATAAATTAAAAAAAGTTCTACTTGCCATTCATCCGTCGACTATGCATCAGGCCTTCCAATGGTAAGCTCCTTCTTCCCAGCTAGAGATCCTGGTGCGGTGGATAGGAGGGGGTGTTGGGCACGGATGCAGCATCTCCCCAGAAGGCTGACCGGTGAACTACGGAAGGGATAGGTGAAAATGACAGGGCTCCTAATGCTGCCTGTGCACAGCAGCGTTAAGGACTCCTATCACCTCTGAAGTAAAGTGACCGCCTAATTTGCCTAATTAGAGAGCCGCCTCTGCTACCATGAGTTTAGGAAAAATCCTGCAAGTTTCTGGTTTGCTGTCCTGGTGAATTTGTGTGCAGATTTTCCCAGGACAATTATTTTAAACAGCAATGCACAGCATTGCTTTAAACTTTATCCAGCAGGCTGAGAAGCACCAATAAAGGTTTTTTTTTGGTTAAGCCAGCCTTCTTACTACAAAGAGAGGGGCACAGAGCAGCTATAGTTTCAGTGAATTAGAAGCTGGGGCAGTGAAAGCATAGGGAAAGCTGACAAATTGCATAGGCAGAGATTAGAATCAGTTAGGAAACTGTACTTTAACTCTGATTGCTAGTTCTTTGGGCACTCAATCCCTTTGCTGCCTTTTTTGTAAGCCAGAAATGCTGGCCATAGTCAGACTGGAGGGATCCAGCGAAAGATTAGCTCTGGTAGCAGATGCAGATACACATTACCAACAGATAGATCAGAGCAGGACCTGTACGCTTTAAAGTTGCATACAGCAGAAGCAGAAAGGATCTGAAGTGGGGGTATGTCAGCTTAATAGTGACTAGTCCTACTGGCGTAAGACATGTTACCAAAGGGAAGGTCCTGCTGATTATCTTAAGTGTCTCTGACTAGAGCTCAGTTACAAGCTTAATACCTGGACCTTTGCACACAATTAACGCAGAACAGAACAGAACACAGAACACAAATAAAGTGTCAGACATTTGACCTTAGGAGAAGAACTAGGTTACTTGGCTTTACGTACTCATTTGGGCTGGCAGTACGTAACTGCCCCAAAAAAAGACTTTGCTTTGTCCTGTGCTTTGAGAGGCCATGTGGCCATTAGACAGAGTGGAACACAATGTCTAATAAAAGATGTCTCACAAATAGAGCCATAGTATTATGTCCTGAAGCAGGCACCACCCACTTCCTGTCTGTGTGCAACAAAAAATTGTGTCCCATAAGAAAAAAGCTGAAAAAAAGGGGTGGAATTAAGGGCAGTTTACATACAGTATAACAAATGGTGGTAAAAATTTGGTTGAATATTGCAAAGACACCAAACCCAGTATTGCTGCTGCAGTGAGTGCAAGTTACTGAGTAGCAGGGTTTTTGCAGTGAAATAGTAAAATACCGTATGTGGTCCAGGAAGACACTGTGAAGCAGTGGCTACTGCATTAATTCCTACATCTTTCCCACTATGTTCATAACAAGAAAAAAGGTTGTTGCTGAAGGTAGCCTTTATTAATCTGCAAAATATTCTGTTTAACTATGTAACGTTTTAATGTGTTTTATTGTAGATTCACCTATTTCACAAAGGAAGTTTGAACCAGGGTCTGTAACCTTCCAGCCACCATTTCATACTCAGTCACCAGGCAACCAAGCAGAAGACATAAAACGTGATATTGTAGGTTTAATTATTGTGATATCATTGCAACTATTGCATTATCTTTGCGTGGATATCTCCTGCTTGGATATCCAAAATATACAGTATACTATGTTCTTATTTATGGATCATCCACAAACTATACTGTCATATTATTGGAAAGTATATGGAAACACATACAGTGGAATTTTACACAGGTTATACCAACAGTAATACTTTATTTCTTGATCTAGCTAATTAAAAGCAATAGTTCACAGAAAATCAGCATAGTATATATAAAACAATGATAAAGTATCAAATTGCCTTATAGAATGTAAACTATATATGTCTTCTGTCCCTGGGAACATAACTATTGCAATATTAGCTTTATAAGGATATATCCTTATGTACTGCAGTTGGGGGGCACTGGTATTAGAGAAAAGGGATGAGGGAGTCTGCCTAGGTTTGGTTCATAAACAATTTTGCAAACCTTGCTCAACGTTCTATACAAATCTTCTATACAAATCTATAGGGCAGCAAATCTATCTATTGTTAAACAACAGGTATGCAAAGTCAGATACTGCTATCTGGGACACACACCAATGCCAAAATAAGAAAAAAATACAGTATCTCTCCCTGCACAGATTTGCCAGCTCTCCCTAACACTTCCAACTCACTGACAATATAGCTGCAGTAATCTCACTCTTTCTAGAGGTTATCCATTCCTTCAAAGGTTTGCGGTTCACAAATTTTGGTGAATACCAGGAATTTGCAACAAACGATAGCTGCAAACCTGACCCTCATCCCTATTGGGGGGGGGGGGGGGGGGGTTTTCAATTTTTTAAAAAATTTTTTTTTTTTTT